GGGAGGGGGGGCAGGGCTGGAAGTGCCTGATTCAAGGCCGAACAAGTCGTCCAAAGCGGACTTAGGAGCGGGAGGAGGAGCTTGTACGACAGGTGGGGGAGGCGGATCAAAGGCGGATGTAGCAGTCTGTGGTCGAATCTGGGTGCGCATGCTGGGGGGAACCAAATTGGGTGGTAGAGTAGTTGGTAGAGGGACATGAGGCGCGCTTCTCTGCTGTCTGATCAAATACATAGCAACCGCAAACTCGTCTCGTGAAAGCTGGCCCTGAGATTTTGTGTCGGCAAGATCCCAGATCTGGGCTAACGAGTCTTCGGGCAGGTTAGACTGGCTAAAGAAAGTGACAGCCTCCTCTCCTGTGATATATCCCTTGTTCCCCTTGTCAAGGTCGGTGTAAATTTGATCGAATCGAGCCTTTTCGGTAGGTGTCACGGCCCAGTCGCTAGCACCACTCTGTTGAGGAGACATGGGAGGACGACCGAGAGGGCTGCTTGTGCGAACCTGAGCTGTTCCACTGACCTGTCGAGGAATGGCTGAGATGCCAGGACCAGTCGAAGATTGGCGCGAGGCAGGACCACGGCGCGAGGCAGCCTCGTAGAGACCAGCAGGGAGGACGCTGGGGAGAGATCTGAGAGCTCCTGTCTTCATGGAAGTAAGAAGGTGCATTGCGATAATGAACTCGGTCAGAACAAGAGCACCACGCTGCTCGGTATCGGCAAGCTGCCATATTCTTCCCAGTGCTTCATTGGGTAGGCCGGACTTCTCGAAAATGGACTTGGCCTGGTCCCCGGGAAGCTGACCGCCTTGGAGAGGTTGACGTTCGAATAAACCAGTATATTGTGCGACCTTCTCAGGAGTCAGGGGTGGGATGCGGATCGGTCCGCCGGTGCTCTGGGCTTGAAGAGCGGCCGGAGGAGGCGGCGAGCTGACGGGAACAGGCGGAGGCGGTGGAATCCCACCGGCACCTGTAACCTGAGGAACGATGCCATCGAAACGAGGAAGGGGAGCTTGTTGGAGGGCGATCTCGGGTGTGGGCTCGCGGCCGGCTTGTGCGTGTCCGATGAGTCGTAAAGCGATACCAAAGCCGGCTGGTGTTAGGAAACCTCGGTTCTCCTTATCGGCGATCTGCCAGATCTAAATCAAGTATCAGCATTGATTCCAAGTCAGCAGGGAGGCCATTTATATCATCAACGTACCTCGCCGAGAATTCGGGAGTCTAAGCCTGTTTTGTGGAAGAACCGGACGGCAATTTCACCGACAACGACACCAACACTGTCTGAATCGGCCTGTCGGAAGAGTTGTCCATAGGTGCGCTTCTCCTCAGGGGAGAGGTTCAGGTTTGGCGCTGTTCTGTCAGCTTTGTGTGATAGAGAATATCGGATGTGGGCTTCAAGTACCTTCATCAGCCGCCATGATCGCGTATACGAGCTATGGAAGCTCAGGATGGTAGAGGCGGACGATGGATCGCGATAGCGCCAGGAGAGATATTAAGGTTCTCGAGTATACAATAGGGATGGATCGCAGTAATCGATTATACAGTCGATAAAGCGATCGATAGCGAAGCCGATATAACGGGCGCGGAGAATATGCAGTTGAGGAGACAAGATGGAGGTTGAATTGTGCTTCGCTTCAGTATGGAGATTGGATCGTCAGCCTGGACCATTATGGGGGGGTTGGTCGGGGCTGCCAAGTCGAGAGGGAGTAACGCAGCAAATGAGAGGTGGTGATGAGCTGCCCAGTAACCAACCAGAAGTCGGCGGGACGTGACAGGGGATAAAGAACCTTGACAGAAGCAATTATCCGCTAGAGGCGCACTGGAAGTTTGAAACTCATCCTCTCTCGCGCCAGAGTCTCACAGGCTACGTGAGGGTTTAAGCCACGAGGGCCACTGAAGCTCAAGCTGTCGATACTCAGCTCCATATCAAAGCTCCACCTTGATACGTCATGACGCTTCTTGAATGGATGATATTTGAAGAAAACGCCATGATGTGAATAGCATGTTGCTTGATTTGACTCATGTTCTTTAACATACTGTTTCCATTGCCGTTGTCTATTATAGAGATTTCACCACAAGCCACCAATGGGTTGCACAACATACCAGGGACATGAATTTGATTATATGCAGCTTCTACCAGTAAAAAAAAAGGGAACGATCTGTGCCACCTGGGAGAGGTCTGACTAAAACTATACAAATATTTAAAGAAAATGGAGACTAAAAGATTCCAAGGTCGATATTTAATTCCAGTTTCCAGACTCTATGACAGTAAGACTTGGTGTGTCGTGCTACCATAGTGCCGGATATGCATGCATATGCGAGGCTTCCCGTTACATGTGCATCCATGGATTCCGAGGCCTCAAAAGATGTCTCATTTGACTTGGAGAAGCCTAGTTTAGCCTGATCATGGCCGCAACCATTTCCATTGTCTGATATTTAAAGGTTTAAGGTCTATAGCCCATTCAGCTGTACTCGGGCACGAAGTCAAAGAGATTCGGTACACACCATCATTGGTGTTTATGATGTGACCAGGTTATAGTGGCCCCAGTCATGACTAAACACTGAATATTTCAGGAAATAGTTAAAGTCTCTAGTACCATGAAATGTTATCATGAATGGGCGACTAAATAAGTCTGGCATCGTCTCTATCTTTGTAATCGGCCTCGGAACTGGAATTGATGCAACCTAATGTGAGGCTTATGTCAGATCTTCTGGGAGCATACCTTAGTAGTCTAAGGTAGGTAGAACTGAGCAAGTAATAGGACTTATCGAATTGAATTGAAACATGATTCCATACCCATTGATCTGATTTGGAACCTGACACTATCATCGGACTCTAAAAAGGGACCCTGGAGCTCGGCATCCCCACTAACGGAGCTTGTAGTTACCTAGGCTCGGGGATCAAAAAATCATCCTCAATGCGGGTGGATTTGAAATCATCTCTTTTCTGCAGCTCGTCATTGATATCAACCAACCAATTCTTGAATTGAAGTCGGTTTGCTTACTCAACCCTCCATTGACCTTCTTAATAACCCAATTCTCGTTTCTCAAATCACGTCCGTCCAATCCGCTTCCGTCAATCTCAAGTAACCCCGCCACAACCACTACCTACCACTTCTCATTCTCGTCCCTTCGCATCTGCAGGTGGTGTCCTATCTTGGTTCCTTTAAAAGACGTCATTCCCCTCCCAATCTCTCTCCCACCTATTCCATAACAATTACGAAAGGTTAAGCCTCGAGGCAACCTCATGCAAGCTCTAGCCCACTCCCTACGCTCATCAACCCTGTCTTCGTCCTCGAAAACGACCCCGCTGCGAATAGCTTCAATTGCCCGCCATTTGTCCACATCTGCGCGCAATATGGCTCCCATCACCAAGGAGACCGACTACCTCGTCATTGGCGGCGGCAGTGGAGGTCTTGCATCTGCGCGCATGGCCAGCAGCAAGTTTGGCATCAAGGCTACTATTGTCGAAAACAAGCGACTTGGTGGAACTTGTGTGAACGTTGGGTGCGTACTGATTGGTGAACCATGCAATATGAATTTACGCTAATGGAAACCTAGCTGTGTGCCAAAGAAGGTCACTTACAACGCTGCCGCCCTCGCCGAAGCCATCCACGACGCAAAGGCTTATGGCTTCTCCGTTGAACAAACCGCTCCCTTCGACTGGTCCACCTTCAAGACCAAGCGTGACGCCTACATCAAGCGCCTGAACGGCATCTACGAGCGAAACCTAAACAACGACAAGGTAGACTACCTACATGGATGGGCGCGCCTCGTCTCCAAGAATCAGGCTGAGGTCACACTCGACGACAACTCCAAGGTCCTGGTCAACGCCAAGAAGATCCTCGTCGCTGTCGGCGGCAAGCCTACTATTCCCCCTGAGATCCCCGGCGCCGAATACGGAACCAACAGTGATGGGTTTTTCGATATCTCGACACAGCCTAAGAAGGTTGCTATTGTCGGCGCTGGCTACATCGCCGTCGAGTTTGCTGGCATGTTCAACGCCCTTGGCACGGAGACTCATCTCTTCATCCGCCACGACACTTTCCTTCGAAACTTCGATCCCATGATTCAGGAGAGCGTCACCAAGGAGTATGAGAGACTCGGTGTTAAGTTGCACAAACGCTCGCAGGCCAGCAAGGTCGAGAAGGATTCCAACGGAAAGCTTACCATCACTTACAAGGATGATCAGGGCAACGAGAGTGTTGTCAGTGATGTCGACAACCTGATCTGGGCTATTGGCCGCACTCCTGAGACTAAGGGTATCGGTCTGGAAGAGGCTGGAGTTAAGCTTGGCGAAAAGGGACATATCCTCGTGGACGAGTACCAAAACACGGCAGTCGACAACATCTACGCTCTTGGTGACGTTACCGGAGAAGTTGAGCTGACGCCAGTTGCTATCGCAGCTGGTCGCCGTCTCGCACACCGTCTGTTCGGCGGTCCCGAGTTTGCTAACCTCAAACTCGACTACAGCAATGTCCCCTCAGTTGTCTTCTCCCACCCTGAAGTCGGCAGTATCGGTCTTACCGAGCCCGAGGCCATCGAGAAGTATGGCAAGGACAACATCAAGGTCTACAAGGCAAGCTTCACAGCCATGTACTATGCCATGATGGAGCCTGAGCAGAAGGGACCAACAAATTACAAGCTGATTGTTGCTGGACCTGAGGAAAAGGTGATTGGTCTTCATATTATGGGATTGGGTAGTGGTGAGATGCTGCAGGGCTTTGGTGTTGCAGTCAAGATGGGTGCCACAAAGGCCGATTTTGATAGCTGTGTTGCCATTCATCCCACCAGCGCTGAAGAACTTGTTACTTTGAAATAGAGAAGAAATAGAGGAAAGGATATTAGTGTTAATATAGGGTTACCCAAATAAAAGGAGTTGTTGATTTATGGCCCGTTGCTTTCATTAGGCCCTACGTCGTGTTTCCTCGTTGCATCGTGATAGCGTGGCGTAGATTGAGAATCAAAATCTTTTACGAACCTCATTTATACTTCGAGGTATCGATCATGGGTCTTCATGGTATGTGCTTGGGTAATGGGCCAGCTCTATGTATTCGTGAGTAGGTACTTGAGTCTACACATATCCCCGAGTTATTGACTTCAAATTTATAGCATTTCAATAACGGGCACAAAGACGGATCCATCAATCTCTACCTAGAAGAAGGACAAGAGTCGCTACATGCATTGTTCCACCAGGTTTCTAGCGCTCTTGTGCTGTCATATGGCTACCTAGGTATGTCACAGCGGGAACGAACACAAACCGTATCTGACTCAAGCGAGATCATGACGCCTCGAGACAGTATCGAGAACTCAATTACCAAATTCTGCGCCCTACGCGCCTTATGTCAAAGTGAGTACGGTAAATTTACATAATAGTTAAAGATCGTGGTTTTTATAAATGTTGTCCTACGCGGCTGTCGGTGACCGGTAGCCACAGTAGTTCGGCAGCCGATATATAGAGGAGAGTTATCATATGTTTTCTCGATACAACAGTTCACTCCACTTACACGCCACCGTCAATCGCAATGGCACTCTCAAACCGCGCTCATGAAGCCGAAGAGGCATGCAAGGGGATGGCTTTGTGGGAAGTCATCACCAATCTTTACGATCAAGAGACCAATCCTGATGGTATCGTGAGTCTTGGGGTGGCTGAGAATACCCTCATGCACGATGTCTTGCGAAAACACATTCATGATAACTTGGCCTTGACCAACCCGGCTTTTACTTACGGAGATGGTACTACGGGTACGAAAAGAGCCAAGCAGGCTGTTTCTAGATTCTTGAACAAGCATCTGAAGCCTTTTCGCGATATTGAACCAGCGCATATTTCCATGACCAATGGATGTAGCGCTGCCATTGAGCATTTGTCGTGGGCGGTTGCAAACCCTGGTGATGGGATCCTCCTTGGCCAACCCTACTACGGTACATTTATACCGGATCTTACGTATCGTTTTGGAGCCAAGCTTCTTCCGGTTGCTTTTGGTGATGTCGATCCTCTCTGTGAAGAGGCAGTGGCCAAGTATGAGGAAGTCATTCTCGATACTCAAGCCGAGGGGACCAAGGTTGCCGGTCTAGTTATCAGTCACCCGCATAACCCTTTGGGACGTTGCTATTCTCGCAAAGCTCTCATTGCCTTCATGAAGCTGTGTCAGAAATACAAGGTTCACTTTATCAGCGATGAGATCTACGCCCTCTCAGTCTGGCCGAACACCGTTGATCAACACCCTCCCCCTATTCCTTTCGAATCTGTTCTTGCCATCGACACTACGGGTATCATTGACCCCGAGAGGCTACACGTTCTATGGGGCATGTCCAAGGACTTTGGTGCCAATGGCATCCGAGTCGGAGCCATTATATCCCAGGCCAACCCATCCCTCCACGCTGCTATAGTCGCTGTTGGTCTGTACAGCTCTGTGTCTTCTATCTCAGACCACATCACGGCCAACGTTCTGGAGGACGACGCCTTTGTCGATTCATACTTGGCCGAGAACCAAAGAAAATTATCAGCTCAATACGCACGAGTCGTTGCTTGGGCAGTGAAGAACAATATTGATTACGCTCCCGGTGTGAACGCTGCTTTCTTCTTATGGGTTGATCTCGGCAAGGTTTACGAGGCACGGCACCCGAAAATTGAGACTGACGATGTCACGGATCTTGTGATGGACAAATTGATTGAAAGGAGAGTCTTCCTGGCCTCGGGTAAAGCATTTGGTTCCGAGAAACCGGGCTGGTTCAGAATTGTGTTTTCTCATCCAGATGAGTACCTTGATCTAGGTCTTCAGCGAGTGATGGAAGCATTGCAATAGCATTTCTGGACTAACACGATTGAATTAAACAACGAGTTGTGAATCCTGCGAACATAGATGCTTTGTAATGAACCTGGCCAGTGGTTGGCTTTCATGTTCCCGTTGAGCCCAGGAAACAGAATGGATATCTCCCCCTATTCAAGTTTTCGAACTTCTCTGCCACTTCTCAGCCTTCCACCTGGGCATCGAGAGACAATTGACCCGCCCTATCAGCCAATTTCCAGTGACTTTTCACCTTTTGTGCTTTGCCAGAGGACTCATCTCACTAAGCTGTAACCAGCATCCACCAGTTCAGTTGCACTCAACATGACAGAGTAGCCTGCCCACTGAGCGCGTACGTTGGAATGAAGCAGCCCTGTCACAACTTCAGTCTCATTGATTGCCGCAGCTCCAATCATTTTGTCCCTTGGCCTAGGGTTCGGACCTTTTTTATCCCCCCCGGCTGGCCAGTCCAAGCCCAGTGATAGACTCGATAGTGGGTGGTGGCAGGATGACGCACGACCTTGACAGACTTTGCAACAATTGTACCCTTAGTAAAAGGAGACCAGTGTGTAGCGAGACTGAAAATAGAGTTCCACGGAAGCACATCATCTGGGCTCTCGCCCAGTAGCCTCGTAAATGTCAGAGTCCCATCTTGGTTTTGTAATTGATAGCCCCGTCTAGCCTCACCAGAGCAATATCTGTGCCCGGGACCACATCTGCAGCCAATCCAATTCTGTTTTGTAAGAAGAACTCCCTCATTCCTACAACTTCTCCTGGGCGAACAATACGCGTTGCCGTGGTCATCATATGTTGGTCCTCTTGGTTCTTGATGAGAACGCCACTAGATACATTGATTAAGAATTTTTGCGCATCCCTTCTCCCTTCCGGGTCCCCAGTACCTTTGGAACCACGAAGCCTCGTTCCAGGGAATAGGAGTAGTTTGCTGACACCATCCGGCCACCGGCGATCGGTAAGCTGTCTTGAACGCCAGTGAGACCATCGCTTGAGACTAGTATCGTCCAACCCAGTATAGAGAACTTCACAGCAAGCAATGTAGCCAGGAAGCTGGTTCGCCTTCGACTTCAAATTAGTCTCCCCGCCCACGCTAATCACGATCTTTTGGTCCATCGTCAGCATGACCCCTATAACTTTCGGATAATCTGGATGACTGGAAAACGTCTCAGTCACATCTCGAGCAATCGCTCGCAGCGAGGTCCCTGGGAAACGATCTTGGCGTGTATCGCGGTTTTTGCAAATCCGTAGGTTCAGGTTCCCAACAAATATATAAGTATTTGATGCATGAGGCTCGATTTGTTGGAATAGAGAGGTCCTTTCGCGATAGCTATCCTTGCTAGGTGTGAGGAGCAAGTCTTCTGCAGTCTTGGATGCTATTGTAAATGGACGTCCGTTGATTGTGAGAGGCCAAGGACGTTCCTTATAAGTGAAGATGTGAGTACGGATGTGGTGTTTGTTTTTAATGGTTCAGGTCATCATTTAGATTATACCTAGGTATGAGCAGCTTTTGATAGCTCCTGACTCTTGGTTCCTTCCGTGGGCGTTCCGCTCCTCGTTTCTCTCTTCTCTTCACATTTTGATCCTGCTGGGACTTCTATCTGTTAGCTCTTACTTTTCTTGGAGGATTCAACTTGTCACGATTCCCTGAAGCAGGAAAGGTTCTCTTCTTTTTGTTTCAATTATGGCTGGGGCAGGGAATCAAGCTTGAACATAACGATTAGGTACAAAGAGTAGAGGACAAATTCAGAATCTCCGGTGCAGCTTTCGAATGATTCCTGCCATCACAACGGTTATCCAGGAGCTACCTAACATCGGCAGCATCGTCTTGCATACAAGATTCTTTTGCAGTCAACTCATGATCAAGTACGTTTCCTTACCCTATATCGAGACAATTTGGGCACTTCCTTGGACCAAAGCAAGGCCACCTGTGCTTTCTCAAAGATTTAGGGTAGTCTACGGGACCGGACGTGTAGTTGAATTGTTCCTCTCCAGACACAAACAAAGACCTCCTCCAGCCGGTTCAGGCCGATGCTTTCCACTGACACACAACTCAGACCGCAGACCGCAGACCCGCAGACTGCAGACCCTCAGGCCGGTCTCGTCCTTGGGAGAAAAATGCAACAAGCCCAATGGAGACATATTAAGCACGTTCCCTACGGTAGAGCAAAGAGAGGAGCCGGAAGACAAAAGTGAGGCAAACCCGTATCCATCCAATTGCGCTGGTGTTGGTGTTGGTCGTGCTGTAGTCGCAGTTCAAATTTGCACTCCGGCGCCCAACCCGGCGGTCCGCTACGGATAGATCCCGTCCATGGGTCAGCTCACCAATCGGAAGACCTGATCTATGCCCGGGTCCCGATATTTTGGACAAGGCCCCGAATTTTCTTTTAAGGTGCAGATGCCATCCAACGGCCCTTGAAACCCCAGCTCAGTGAGTGAAAAATTAGAGACGGTCCGACTCATGGGGACGGGGAAACGTTGAGGGGATTCACTAATGCTGTTTAATGGACATCAAACAAGGATTGTTTGAAGCGGCTGGACCCTGGAAACAGCCGGTGCTTTAGCGTGTCAGCGTGAGTGAGTGATATGGACGGCCGCTAAGCTGAGGGTGTCGGCCAAGTTGAGAGGAGACGCCGCTCAGCTGCAGAGACTTCAGTTTAGTTGTTATCAGGCTGATAACCAAATTAGTCGACCCATCACGCAACAGGAACAAAGGAATATGCTCTTCATTCCCCTGTGGCCATGCTATGTCCACGTCAGCGAGCTCGGTGCATCTGATGGTGCCCTGTAGGTGGTGAAGCTACTGCAGGTTGGCTTGAAAACAAATCGAAGACTGCATCTCTTGTGCCTGGCCCTGGTGTGCTTAATGTGTGTGTGTGTGTGTGTGTGTGTGTGCCTGAACTCTTACAATCCAATGCAATACCGATACCCGAACAGAATCTGACAGGGCAGTCTTGGGCGCAGTACAGTACAGTGAATTGCTATCTCTAGGGGCAATGTTCCCTGTCAGGGTGTCATAGAG